ATTTCTTTGAAAAAATTTCGTAGGCATAGGGCCTAGGCCTAGCTAGGTATACAGTAATTTCATTTTACAGTAGTTTGGAACGATATCAGGAGTGGGGGTGGTGGCAGTGGCCTACTAGTACTACAATTTATTTGAAGCTATCTTGGGTCCGATCGTCCACACCAGTGGGGCCCAATCGTCTGTCACCCAAAGTTTTCATTACGATGATCAAGAACGTATACTATCTAGGCCCTAGGCTAGGCTTAGATTGCTCACTCTGCTACGTATACTACTACCGCATAACAAAGAGAAAGCGACCCACGCGGTGCGGTGCATTCTTAAATTGTACACACATTATTAAAATGTATTAGACGATAACACGATATCACTGACTGAACGATCTACTACCCTCATATCGCAGTAACTACTGTACTGAACTAGGCCTAATGTTTTTGTGAACTAGAGTGCTAACAAGATGGCGGAGCAATGCAGAGTTATGTACCCGACAGTCGGCTGCCTTTGTATCTTCACTTGTCTTCAATTTGCATTCAAAGGGTACATTGCTGCATAGCCAACTGTCGCGAATATAGTACCTTCATCATATGACTACTCAAACAACAGAAAAAAACGTCACATGGAGTTAGTGAGATCTAAATGAAAAAAACGATGTATTTCAGCAAATATTAAAACCTTTTTGTTTTATTTTAGGCCTTCTTCAAAATACATATGCCTACAGCAGTTGATTTTTTTTGCCGTAAAATCAAAATAGTTTCATCCATGCCGACTTGCCGATCGGTTACGTGAGCCCTGACTGAACACTGCAGAAACTTCACATCGATCTTCGCATCGCGAGGTAAAACAAAATGTCCGAAAACTTTTCTTGGACGCATGTGCATTTGCATAAATGTCTACACACATACGCACACACATACTACACACAATAAAAAACAAAGGAAAAACAGTGAGAGTGATTACAATAGTTCCTATTGCATTACATGCATAGGAACTAAAAAAAGCATTAAATTAATCTGATTTGAAGAGCATACAACCACATAATGTGACCGTCCTATGTGCCCTCAATACAGAATTCCTCCACTTGATTATAAATAACGGGAAATTTACCGATAGTTAACAGACCTAAAATTATGCTTGTATAAGAAATGGTTTACCAAACTTTTGAAAAAATACCTGGTATAAATTGTTTTTAAAACCTGTAAAACCATTTTACTTAAAAGGCTTTAATTACATGTGCAGTATCTAAACAAGGAGCACTGGAGGTAAAGTTTCACGCTTACGTTTTTAAAGTATGGGGTAAAAAAATAGAAATGCTCCTAGGCAGTAAACAAATAGCCTCCCTACAGTGTAGTTTCTCTCTGAAAATTGATAAAACAAGTTTGAATCCAAACTTACCAATATTCAGACGTGGTTACAAAAATGTTACTACAATGAAGGAATATTAAAATTTCAACTAAATTAGAATTTTTTAGCCTAAATTTCCTTATTAGTTAAATATTGATTATGCAAATGAGCAATTAGCGAATTCACACATTTACCAAAAACAATAGGCTCAGTCACTTTATTACTATCTTGCATTAGTCCAAAGTTTGAAACCAATCGAATATAAATGTCTCATTTGTTTTATTATTACATTCATTTTATCATACTGGAGCAACAGTCCTCGCGAAAAAGGCCGCCATGGATAGCCTTCCAAGAGGCTGACAGTAATTATATTTGCAGGAAGGGGTCCTGAAACAAAAAGGGCATCTGTGAAGATGACATAAATATAAATGACGTGGGGAACCATCTTTAGTCTTTTTACCCTCCCACCTTTTGATAGATTTGATAGGTAAGTTAAATCAAAAATAATTTTTGATTAG